AAATAAACATTGTAAAAAAAGAGAAAGCAAGACCAGAGGCACATCTTTAACCCAAAATTTCTTAGTGCATACAGTGTCTCTTGTTGAACCTGAACCTCACCAACAAGGGAAAAGAATTGAAAACAGCGCAATTACTAAAGTTATACCTATTTCCTAACACTCTGCAGAACTGCCATATGACTACTAGAGGGAAAAAAATTCATTCATGGTCTGCAAATAGAAAAGGTTTGAATGCTTTACATATCATAAAAATATTTTTACATATCATAAAAATTGAATTTTCCCCCAGTTCAAACTGAATTAATTAAAGTAGAATTTTTAATTTGATCCTGAACAATAAAGTAGAAAAGCAAATGTCTGCTGTGTAACTTGATTTTAAGTTCCAAGGAGTAAAGCACTAATATAATTAAGTTCCCGGATCAAATCAGTTTGACAGACACTGAGCCTTTAATTACTGAGGTGCACTGTGAATCTCTAAGGGAAAAAAAAAGCATGCACCATTTCCAAACATATTTTCAGATGGGATTCTTTACCTATTATTAACATAACACCTATTCATTTCAGTAGAACACAGTCCAGCATGGTCCAAATATGTAACTTTATGGAAAAGAAATGTTATGTTGCCAGCATTAATTTCAGGACAAAAACTTGCTTAAACAATGAACAGCCAATCACATGGAAGAAGTGTTGAAGATATTTTCTATTCAAATTCTAGTTTCATACCATCACTACATTTCTTTGTGTGTGCAGAAACCAAATTATATTATGGTATCATTTATACTGTTATCAAAACTATACGGAAATATGATAAGGCTCAGATCTAATTCAACCGCCCAATTCCCAACCGCATTTGGCCAACTTAAATCTGAAAGGTTTTCTCCTAATTCTAGAATAAAGAAGATCAAATAGTGAACTGGCTGCGGCTGGGGGTAAAATCAGCCAGGATGTAACACTGTGTGTCCCCAATTTAACAAAGAAGTTCTCTTGCTCTCAGTGTCTCTGAATGTTATCCACACAATATGCCAGAAACAGATACAAGTAAGAAACTGACATTTTTACATTTTTATTTTTGAGAATCTTTTATAAAACTGTGATTTCACATAAATAAATCTTTTCCCCTCAATTTTTTTTTGCTGACAAACATCTGCTGTAATAATCAAAAACACTGACCAGCACTAAGACAGAAGCAGGAAACAAACACACTATTTACATCCTGCTTTCATTTCTCCAAAATTCTTTTGAGGTCCTGTACACAGTCACAATGAAACAAGCACAGTCATGCAATAAAAACTTAAGAACTTAACAAAAGCGTCAAGATATTGAATGACATCAATTTTACGAGTAGGGAAAATACCAAAGAACTAAAAATCAGCACAACAGGTCAGCTCATTTCAGTAATGGACCAAAAAAAAAAAAAAAAAAAAAAAGGTCAGCCAAACGGCACCTGGCTTGCCTAAACCTAGCTTTTAAGTTTTTCTGTTTATACTATTTCAAAATCTCCTATCACAAAATACATTTTATAATGGTCTCTTTTATATTTATTTTTCTTGTCCTTGAAAAATTTCACTATGTGAAATTGTCTTAATGTTTCCAAGTTAGTTCAAGAAAATGCTTAACTTTTATTATTTTCTACAACGTAACAGCTTAGAGGTAAAAACTTTATAAAGAAAAATAAGCAAAGATAACAAACTGCAAAGTGGTCAGCAAAAAGAAAAAGACATAAAGAACAAAGGGGGAAGGCATTTTATTAGTTCCAAATCAGAGGATATCCTTGACTGTATTAATTCCATCTACTATACCTCAATGAATACAAAATTCATTATATTTTCAAACTAGTATATTAGAAACTTAATAAATGAAACACTGGGGTGCCTGCCTGGATGGCTGAGTTGGTGAAGCATGTGACTCATCATCTTGGGGTTGTGAGTTCAATCCCCCCACACTGGGGGTAGAGTTTGCTAGGTAGGAAGGTAAGAAGGAAGGAAGGAAGGAAGGAAGGAAGGAAGGAAGGAAGGAAGGAA